TTCACTCATTGTGATTGGGGTGTTTAAAATTCCTCTATCTTCTTCATTTATTTTGGCAATTTGTATGTATCTAGGAATCTGTTTATTTCTTCTGTGTTTTCCATTTTATTAGAGTACAGATTCTCGAAGTAGGTATTAATGATCCTCTAGATTTCTGCTGGATCTGTTTTGACTTCACCTTTTTTGTTCTTAATTGCATGGATTTGAGCCTTTTCTTTCCTTTCTTTAATAAGGTTGGCTAAAGGTTTATCAATTTTATCTTTCAAAAAACCAACTCTTTGATTCATTTATTTTTTGTATTGTTCTCTTAGTCTCCATTGCATTGATTTCTGCTCTGATCTTTATAATTTCCTCTCTTTTGCAAGCTTTGGGTTTGTCATGCTCTTCTTTTCCTTGGAGCTTGAGGTTCAGCATTAGGTTGTTCATTTGAGCTCTCTCTGTTTTCCTAATATAGGCATTCATTGTCATGAATTACCCTCATAGAACTGCTTTCATTGTGCCCCATAGATTCCTGTATGTTGTACTGGCATTAGCATTTACTTGTAGAAACTGTCTAATTTCTTCTTTAATTTCCTCTGTGACCCATTGGTTGTTCAGGAGGGTGTTACTCAATTTCCATGTGTTTGTGGGAGTTTTGCAGTTTCTTATGCTATTGATCTCCAATTTTATTGCACTATGGTCTGATAATATACAGGGGGTAACTTCAATTGTTTTACATTTACTTAAACATATCCTATGAGCTAGCATGTGATTTTTTTTTTTTTTGCATGTGGCCTATTTTGGAGAATGACCCATGTGCAGTCGAAAAGAATGTATATTCTGAGTTTGTGGAGTGGAACACTCTGTAAAGATCTATTAAGTATGTGTATTTTAACACTGAACTACTTGGAAAGCACTTGGTACACTACAGTATAATTTGAAAGATCTAAACCTAAAAGCTTATTTCTACTTAACAAGCAATATGGTTAAACAGATGGAAGAAAGTAACATTAAGGTATCCTCACAAGAGCAGAAATGAATGGGAGGGGATCTTGGGGAATGCTATTGTCTTACTATTATAAAGTCAAAGGTGTCGGGATATAGTGCAGTAGTAGAAAACTTACCTAGCATGTGCAAAGCCCTGGGTTCAATTCCCAGCCCTGAGAAAAACAAAGTCTGTGAAAGAAGTAACAATGAAAATAAAGCTTCTGAAAATTCCATAAGTGGTACTCATTCTTTGGCTGCCAGGAAGCTCAAGTTAAATCTGCTATGCAATTTTAATAATAAATTACACTTATTCCTTGGTAATTTCATCCAATCCCATGATTTTAAATGCCATATTTGACATTCAGGTTGTCCAGAGAACCAGACATACACACACACATATCTATGTTCTTGGAGATAGCAATATCTAGATTCCAACAGATATCAACAGTGATTTTATAAATAAGTTAGATAGATATGTAAATAAATAGATGATAGATAGTAGATAGGTAGATATGTAAATATATAGGTATGTAGATATATATATGGGGAAATATTTAGTACAAGGAGTAATTTATGAGATTCTAGAGATTAAGAAGTCCCATGACTTCTTCTTCCAGCAAGTTGGAGACCCAGGAGAGACAGTGGTATAGCCCAGTCTGAGGGAAAGAGAAGCAAAATGTCTCAGCTCAAGCAGCCATGCTGACAGAGTGAATTCTCCTTTTCTTCAACTATTGTTCCATTCAGACCATTGACAGACTGGATGATGTCCATGTACTTTAAAGACAGTATTACACTTAAGCTACCAATTCAAAGACTAAGCGCATTTGGAATCACCCACAGAGACATAGCCAGAATGTTTGACCAAATATCTAGGCAGCCTGTGACCTAGTTAACACATAAAATTAACCTTCATACCTTATCTTACCGACTCCCAAATTCAGTTTTGAAACCTTGTGAATTAAAGACTCATACTGATATTTCCACTTGGATGTGTGGAAATTAATTAGCAACTGCTATATAGTTTGAATGCTGAATGTCACCCAAAGACTCATATTCTAAAAACTTTGTCTCTGGGGCTACACAATGTGCTACACAATGTGAGGTCCTTAAATTATTGAAGTTGTATCTTGAAGGAGATTGTGGCACCCAGACCCTTTCTCTTCCTTTTTTGTTTCCCAGTTGCACACACAGTAAGTGGTTTTGCCCCACCACACACTCCTGCCAGATTGAGCTGCCTCTGCTGCCTTGCCACAGGCTCAAAGCAATGGGGCCAAGCAGTTGTAGACTAGCGCTCCAAAACTGAAAGGCAAAATAATCTTTTCTCTTTATAAGTTGATTGTTTTAGGTATTTGCTACAGTAACAGGAAGTTGCCTAGTGCATATTTGAAAAGATATTCCTGATATCCACATATTTGAAAAGATGCTCCTGATATTGTCCCCAGAACCTGTTTCCTTTTTATAGTCTCCATCTCAGTCAATGACACTTCATCTTTCCTCTTGTTTTCCCATCTGATCACTCAGCAAAAACTGTGGACTCCACTTCAAAATAGAGAAATGCTTAGTACTTTACTTACTACATTAGGGCTACCACTCTAGTGCAAGCAACCATTATTGCATGTCTGGGTTAGGCCACTTTCTGTCTAACTATTTTCCCTGTTTTGTCCATGCTCTCCAATGTCCATTCTTGACATAGTGCCAGAGAACATGTTAATGGTCTCCCCAAAGCCCTGCAATTGCCTGGACTAAAAACAATGAAATGTCAACAGGGTCCTGTATGATCTGGATCCTGTTACCTCTCTGACTTCATTTCCTGGTGCTCTCTTCTTCATTGAGTCTGCTGGAGCCTTTCAGTCTCTTCCCTACTCTAGAAAAAAAAAAACAGGTGTGACTTTGCTGCGGGATCTTTGCATTTGCTTTTCCTTCTGCCTGGATTGTTCCTCTAACAGGTATCTACTGTGATTGCTTTTTCATCTTCTCTTTTAGCTCTTTGCCCAGATGTCTCCCTTTTCAGTAGGGTCTTCTCTGATGACTCTATTTAAAATTACAACCTTCATATCCACCCACAGACACTTTTTAACTTTCTTGTTTGCCTGAATGAGATTTTTCCATAGCTTTCATCACTACCTAAAATACAGATTTCATGTACTTACAGAGCTGTCAGTCTCCCCACAAGAATGTAAGTTCCATGAGTGTAGGCTTTATATCCCCTGACCTGAACAGGTCCCTGGTGTTCCATTAATACTAGGCAGGTATTGCATGAGTCAAAGACTGAACACGCAGATCTGGAACCCAAGTGGGGGCTTCTCCCAAAAAAGTTTTTTAAAAGATATCATTCACATATGGCTAGAAGGTGGAACTGTGATTAAGGGGAAGATTACTGAGAGAAACTGTAAAAACAGAAAGAACGAAGGGTAGAAATCAATCTTAGGGCAGAAAAAGAAAGAGTACAGTGAAGGAGCCTGAAAATCAGCAACAAGAGTCTAGAAGAAGAATCAAGAGGAAATGAGCAAACAAACAAAATACAAAATACAAAAATATAAAAGGTATACTCAGGCCTCCACATCTGTGAGTTGCATATTTGTGGGTTTAACATCCACAGATTCATCGAACTGCTGACAAAAATACACAGGGAAAAAAAATGTATGAGTCCAAAACATGAACAGATTGCTTTTTCTTGTTATTATTCCCTAAACAATACAGTATAGCATCTATTTATATAGCATCTACATTGTATTATAAGTAACCGAGAGATGATTTAAATTATATAGTGTGCACAGGTTATATGGAAAAATCACTTCAGGGAAAGAAAAGCATGTATAAATATTTTAATACTAAATTTATTGAGACATCATGAGATTAATACAAGTTACCTTTGGCTGCTACAATTACAAGAATTGCTCAAAGAGGTGGCCATTAGCTTCCATCCTTTTATTAGCACACCAAGCTGCTGCTTGGGAAACCTTGGTCATTGAGTTTGCTACACGTGCATTCTCAATTTCTTCTCCACAGGCTTGCAGCGTAGTGGGTTTTCTGAGACATACAACATCCTCTAGGGTCCCTATACAAGGATAATGCCATCTGTTGAAAAAACATCATACTATTTCTCCTTTCCTGAAGTGTGTATACATATCTTGGCAGACTCTGTATATGGAAATATCCATAGATGTTGCTTAGTTGTTTGGGAAAAAAATGTAGATCATCTTACACCATAAATCCAACTCCATAAATCCATAAATCTGTCTTACACCATAAATCCAACACCACGATAAAGTATTGAATGCACAATTTCAGAGAAAAAAATATTTTTATGGGAAAATTTTTCTATGGTTAAATTATATAATTTACAAATGTCCTGATAAATCTGACCATTAAAATGAGAAGTATTCTCTGTATCAAAAAGAAGCTCAATTAAAATGAAAATGCTAAAATGAACTGGGAAAATACATGTAATAATTTGACAATGAGAAGAACTTTTTATATTAAAAATTTACATTAAGAAAAATCCCAAGATACTTACAGAAGGTGAAAAATACAAGATTTCACAAAGTGGAAATACAAACAATTGTAAAATAATTTACTTGACTGATAAATGAAGAAATGCCAATTAAAACAATGATAAGATTTTCTCTTCTATTAATTAATAGGTTAAAATATATAATATACAGCCAGATGTGGTGGCACATGCCTATATTCCCCACACTCTGGGAGGCTAACGCAGGAGGATGCCAAGTTCAAACTGAAACTGGGCAACTTAGCATCTTAATGAGACTCTAGCGACTTGTTGAGACTATCTCAAAGAAAGAACTGGGGGATACACTTCAGTACAAAGATTCTGGGTTCAATGCCCAGTTATATAGAAACTAATTAAAAATATAAGTTGTTCACAGTAACTGAGAGGTGGAAGTCATCCAAATGCCCATCAATGGGTGCACAGATAAACAAAATATGGTGTATACATACAATAGAACAGTATTCAGCTTTAAAGGAAATCAAACTCAAGTACATGCTGCAACATGAATGAACTTTGAGGCAATTATGCTAAAGCAAATAACCCATAAGAAAAAAAGAAGACAAATATTGTATGATTGCACTTACATGAGGTATCTAAAACAGTCACATTTGAGGAGAAAGCAGCATGAGAGGAGGGACAAACAGGGAGTTCTTGGTAGTGGGTAGAATTTCCATTTGGGATGATGAGAAAGTTCTGGAAATGAAGAGTGGCAATGAATCCTAACGCTGTGAATGTATCTCATGTCAGTGTAGCTAATTGGAGACTGAGCATAGTTAAATGGGGAATTTTATATTATGTATATGTATTTTAGCACAGTAAGGAATATCTGAGAAAATACATGAACTTAAAAATGACCTGGGAATTCCATTTTTTAGAAGTTACTTCTGTGGAAGTAAACCAAAATTTAAGCAAAGATGTTTATCAGAACATTGTCTGTAATTGCAAAACAACTCTTGCAAACAAAATAATGTCAAAACCTCATCATGCACTCCCACCAAATTGGCAGCTCCAGGACACCAAAGACCTTGTTTCTTCTTGCTTTCCATTTTATCTCCACTCCCTTCCTGTGCTTGGAACCTAGAAGATATGCAACAGATACTTGTATTAATTAATACGGTGAAATGCTGTCTACGAGGGTATTTATAAAGTATTTTAATGACCTAGGAAAAAGATTTGATTCAATAAGTGAATTAAAACACAGGATAAAACTTGCAATTTGATTTCAACTATGTAAAACAAGGCTTCTCGTTAGGTGAAATAATGAATCCCTTTATTGTTTAAATCTGAGTTGTGGCTTATTACACCTGAAAGCGTTCTAAGTGATCCTGCCACCTACACAAGAATTTCACTCAAAAAGAGCTCCTCATGCTTTCCCAGGGCTTATTAAAGCAAAAAGCAGAAAGTGGAAAAGAAAAAGAAAAGCAGTGCTGCCATTAATAGGGAATTTCCCAATGGCAAGGGAAAAGACAAGAAAATTATTTAATCAATGCACAAAAATAACCATAGTACCCATTAACTACAGCTGGCTGGAGCTGTTTAGTGTAGAATCAGTTTTGCAGACTTGAATAACTTTTTAAGCTATTCTTGTAATAATAGATATTTGTAATAATGATTCTGAGTCACCAATAAAAATGTTCAGTTTGTGCAATATATTGTTTGAGAACATCATGCATTATATAATACAGTTTAAGAGGATTTTCATTAAAACGTTTAAAATATTTAAAAGTTATAGGACTTACAGGGGGTGCTGAAATTCTTCTGGAAAGTTCACTTAGCTGGAATTCCTTGTTTTCACAATATTGTTAAAGGCAAATAAAAAACTATTTATTTGACAATCTAAAATTCTTGCATTTGTGTTCGAAATTGGGTTTTTCAAGGAAATGGAATGCACAGAAGATCATCAGGGAAGGATCAACACCCTCAGCCCGTCCTCCAGTGGGTCCTCGATGGAGCTTAAGATCTAGTATTTCTCTTTGGGTGCTGCCGACCAAAGTCAGGTCCGAGTGCATGTTAAGCGTGTGCGTTACCGCTGAGCAACACTCCCGGACTGACACTGTTAATAGACACACTGGATTATTTGGTCTAGATGTTCTGAAACAATGGAACTGAGCTACGAAGACTTAGTTCAGAAACTGCTAAAGAGTTCTCTGTTTTACCAAGCCTCTGGCTCAGAACATTACTTTGGAAGAGGTAGGTAGCCTCATTTCTTAGCGAAAGGAAAATACTAATGGACCAGTAATCAGCCTCTGAATTGAGTTTACACCAGTATTGACTTTACCAAGAAGGTATGATTCCATTTTAAAGACTCATTCTCTGCTGTTAATACAATTTTAAATAAAGTTTGAGTTACAACTTATCTCGGATGTCATATTTTATGTTGATAAGAATGTAAAGTCAATGCTATGAAGGATAGCTGGCATCAGCCCATGGTATGAGTGTGCTCTTACCAGGGTGCTCTGGCACCATCCTTCCTTTCTGTCTCCTTGAAATGTTTAATCCCAACATCTGATACATGATAAGAAGTGGCTTATTTGTAAGACACTCGGAAAAGCATCCAGTCTTAATCAAATGCATGGCACGACTGCAAAGCTGGGAAGATACAGACTTGGACACGTCTTTGCTATTTTTTCTCCCTGAGTGGGCCAAATTAGATAAGCATAAAGTCGTAAAAAGTATTATGTTTCCCCTTCAAAATTTTAAAAACAGGAGTCATTTCTCAATTCATTAACTTCCACTATATCGTGTTTCTGCCAGTGAAAGAATTTTTTCCTACTTCTCCTTTCCTGTTTTTTTTTTTTTCTCCATGACAAGTATATGCTCAAAATGAGCCTCCAGCCACACGGGCATAGAAGCAGGCCATTCACAGTGCAATCAAAATATACACCAAACATTAAATTTAAAAATGCATTAAAGTAAAAAACACATTGCATTCAGCCCCCACAAAATACTTCCCCTCACTTTGAACACACTTATCCCATCATTCTTGCTACTTTCTGTAGCAGTTCTGGAAGTCCTTTTCATGAGTATCTTTACAAGATGTGATAAAAAATACAGCAAATGCTGCTGCCAAGTGGCATTTAATGCAAAGGCAGGCTCGTAAAAACATTTCAGTGTGTCCTCATCCACCTTATTCACCAGATCTGGCACTGTGTGAATTCTGTCTCTTCCCTAAATCAAAATGACCATGAAAGATGCCGGGGATTTAGCTCAGTGGCACCATGCCTGCCTTGCAAGCACAAGGTTGAGTTCAATTCCTGGTACAAAAAAAAAAAAAAGACTGTGAATGGTAAATGCTTTTGAATCAATTTAGGCTATCAAGAGAGCCACAATAGCACAACTAAAGACACTCACAAAAGAGGACTTCCAGAACTGCTTCATAAAGTGGCAAAAAGAATGGGTATGTGTTCAAAGCAAGAGGGAGTATTTTGAATGTGTCTTTTACTATAATAAATTTTTAAAAATTTAAACATTCACCGTATTTTTAGATCATTCCCCATATATGTTGCCTGAAATTCCTGTTCATTTTTCAAAACCCAGATCCTACACTGTCTCTTCCCAGAAGTCATTTCATAGTTGCCCAGGCAGAATTAGTCATTCTTTTTCCTGTGAACCCACCGCCTACTCTAACAACACTTACGATGCTGTATTGTAATTATTCACTTATATGTCTGTCTCCTGAGGAGACTATAAGCAAGTCAAAGACAGGCCTTGTCTGACTAGAGACTCATTTTATGCTCAGGAAAATGAGAAAGGATGGAGCATTTGGTAGAGGCTATAGAACTTGGTGACAAGTAGATATGGGAAATTTAAAGAATGCAAGATAATTGAAATATTTCTAAAATGTCATTCACTCATCCAACAATTTAGCAACCAATATGTTACAAGAGGTGCTTCTATGATACTTCATTAGGAGAAAGAGCAAATATAAAGGAAGAAGCAGACAGGGAGGATGAGATCATATGAGAACAGGCTGCTTTGGGTTGCCTGCAAACCCTCCAGGTATACAGGTCTCTGTGTCCTCAGACATGTGGGTCTGGCAAGGAGATGCTGGGTCCAAGTTAAAGATGTAGAAGGGTCCAGCCTGCCTGGGGTGGGATGGCTTCTGCTGCCTGGCCTTGCCCAGAGAGGCCATTTGGGTGTGGGTAAAGGCCCCCAAACTTCCTGCCCCTGTACTTACATCCCTGTCAGGTTGGAGGGCAGCAACAGTCTTAGGAAGGTAAGCAGAAGAGGAGGGTGGCAGCACCCAGAGTGGGAAGGGTGGAGGAACGAGTGGTCAAGAACCTTGCCCAGGGAGGCAGCATGAAGAGGGATTGCACTGAAGTTGAAATGCTAAGTCCCAGCATGTGTTCTGTTGTCCCATAACTTCTCTCACAAAATGCAAATTCAGAGATAACATGAGAAGAATTTCAAGCAGCAGCTGCAGAGCATCAAAGCCCAGGCACAGAGCCCTTCTGCTCGTGGAGCCCTGGGCAACTGCACTAGTTGCAAGGCTGTGAAGCTGGTCTTGGTCTACACCATGGCCCAAGAGAACCAAGGAGGAACATTGGAAAGCCTCAACATGAGAGAGGTTTGAAGCGGCTACAAAAAGCAGAAATGAGTAAGCAGAAGGAAGACAGAATTAACCCAGAAGCCAAAAGAAGCAGGGAATCATCTACAGCAGAAGTTTCTCCTCCAGGGTCTACAGATATGTTTACTTGTCCCAGGAGCATTTTGAAATTTTGAGCCAATATTTAGAAATTAGAAACATTCTCATAAAAACCAAGGGTTTCTTTACTAAAAAAAAAAAAAAAAAATCAAAAGATCGAACAGTGCTGAGTCCACATTCCTCCACGGTTAAAATCAACCAGAGATGAGCAGCAGCTGCTCCCGTAGCAGGGCCACTTGACACAGGCTTCCTGTGACTCACTGGTGTCTGCCCAGGCAGGTACACTGCTCACAGCTGCCTGTGAGTGGACCGGGCTGGCCCGCCAGCATGTGCATTTGGAATTGGGTCTGCACTGTGCAGCCAGCGCTACAGAAAGGTCACCCAGGAGGGGACCTAAAAATAGGTCACTGAATCTGACATGGAAGAAACATCAGTGATATGTTTGAGCCGAATGAGGTTTTGGGGTGGAAGCCAGATGGTGGTGGGTTGAGAAGTGAATGGGAGGTGATGAAGTGGGGACCGCAAGGGTACAGACTAATTTTTCATGCATATTTTTGTCATAAAAGAGGCTGATGGAAAAGTAGATTGAACCCACCCAGTTATCCCAATTCCTCCCCCAAGCTCTTCCCACACACCTACTATGCCTAAATAAAGAAGCAAAGTGACATGAAATGAAGCAAGATCTTTGTTTGAAACTCTACACTTTAGAAAAAAAAAATCAATTCCAGACCAGAAGTGGAAATTAACTGGGACTTTACTGTTCCCCATCAGTGTAACACTCAGAGATATCAATTGTGAGAGTAATAATTCCTCAGGATCCCAGGGGATTAGTTCTAGGACCCTTGAAGCTCCTTGGATGCTCTAGGCCCTTTTGTAAAACACTGTTGTAAAGCTGGGGTGGTGTGCACACCTGTAATCCCAGGACTGGAGGTGGCTGAGGAAGGAGGATAGCAAGTTCAAGCCCAGCCTGGGGAACAAGTACTTAGCCAGGCCTTGTCTCAAAAAAAAATAAAAGCAGGGGGAATGTAGCTAAGTGCAAACGTCCAGGGGTAGAGAGGGGTAATGTATAGCCAGGCCTGGTGGTATGCATTTGTAATCTCAGCATTAAGGGAGGTTGAGGCAGGAAGCATGAAAGTTTGAGTCCCACTAGACAACTTCGTGAGACCCTGTTTCAAAATTTAAAAAACAAAATGAAAAATGGCTGAGGATGTAGCTCGAAGGTAGAGTACCTTGGGTTCCATTCCCGGCTGGGGGTTGGGGTGGGTATAGTGTTTGCATATTATCTATTCACATCTTTCTGTATATTTTAAATCATCTCTAGGTTACATACAATACTTGATGTTATTTAAGTAGTTTTTATGTCTATACATACACCCCGCCCCCAATTTTCATTCCACAGTTGAATCTGCAGATATGGAACTCAAGATACAGA